ATGCCGCAGAGGAACCGGCGGGAGGTCTGGGTTTCCCAGACCAAATGGGTAGAGTGGTTCCCTTTAAAGCACACGTGGCAGGAAAACAATGTGTGCCAGATCCAAGACGCATCAAGATATATATATATATATATATATAATACATATTATATTCATGTAGGTCTATGTATTTATTAGTTGTAGTTGACTTCTGTGTGGGTGTCGTATTTCCTTGTTTAAGGAGGTCTACGATCTCCCTCGGGGGGATGTGTGAGGAGGAAACATGTAAGACTGCGAACCTATTTTTGGTGGTGGCTCTACTTGAGGACAATCTTATCGAATGATGTCCCTTCTTCCCAATGACATGGCATATTCAAGCTCGGCGTGGCTTATGCGAGGCTCTTTGCCACTGGTGGCGTGGCATACCCGACAGCACCCCCCCCCCCCCCCCCGCAAAGGCCAACTGAGCATCACCCTTCTAGACGTTGGGGTGCCCAAACTCTGATCTTCGTGAACCACTTTTAACAGCGGTACGAAATGACACGTCCCAAAAGTGCGGCAACTTTTTGTTTAGCCTCCCATCATCTCACCCATGGATGCTTCTTGTTCCACCGTTTGCCTGCCCTTCATCATTCGGTGAATATTTGCTCGGAGTTACTGAGGTGCTAAGTCGAGCCATCTGTTTAAGCCAGCTCAAGGTCTGTTCAGCCTTAAGTCCAGCTATGTATATCTTGCAGTAAGTGTGGAGGAGAGAGATGTGTTTCTTGTATGATAGGAATGCATGTTTCAGAACCCATAGGCATGGTTAAAAAAAAAACAAAACTCGAAACAATTGTGGGTTGTTGTTCACCGTGGCCTGTTGGCGCTTGACCCCAATCAAACAATTGAGAAGAGGTTTCCTGTTGATGTTTTGCGTTTGGAACGCCAAGGACAGATTGAAGCAACACCCTGAAACTGGCAATTCGTGGGACAGTGATCCTAAGAGGCGTTGCGGCTCGTCCAATTCGATGCCTGGAGACCCAATGATTCCACCCACAAAAGGTGGCAAAGTCGGAGAGTGATCAATTGTAACACCTAAGATTAAACCCCACTTCCTGGCCGGGATTTCTTATGTCAATTTTGTCAATAGCGTGTTTGCTGGCACGCGTGCGTGTGGGCGGGCGGGAGTGCGTCGGTGGGTGCGTGTGCGTGTGTTGTTTGTTGTTTGTGTGTTTGTCCTTTTCTCTGTTTGTTTGTTTGTCTTTTGAGCAAAAGGACACTAAATTGGACTGTTTAGTTTGGTCCAATTTGTTGTTTGCATAGGTGTCCTTTTTGGTTGTTTTGGTAGAAACATAGATGGCCATCTATTTCCCCGAACAGGACACCTATGTTAACGATGTTCGATCCAGAGACCGCGCTCTTGTTTGGTTTTATCCAATTTGTTGTGTGGCTAAACTTTCGGAAACCACACGGAGGAGCACCACTAGGTCCACCAGTGCCCTTTCTCTCCCCTTTTTGGGGGAGGGTTCCCCCGCTAAAAATAGACAAAACCGAGAAACAAATCGGGTACCAACTTATTCTAACTCCTCTCAAATCTGGAGGACCTAGTGGGGGACCCCCAAACTGGGTTGTCCTTTTGGTGCCCTTATTCTAGCCTCTCTACTGGAGGACCTCGACCGCTTTCGGGCGAGGACGGAGGCCAGCGCCCTGCTGCAGCGGATCGGCGCAGGCGCCAGCCTGCAGCTCCTGCAAGGCGCTCGAAGACGAGTCGCACAGGGCAGTTCGAAGGGTTGGGTTGCAGGAAAAAATGAACGGGAAAAGAGCTTATTTAGGGAGTTTGAGGGTGATTTCCTGTTGATTTACAGCTTACTTAGGGTGTTTGAGGGTGATTTCCTGTAGATTTACAGCCTATTTTGGGCGTTGTGGGGATTCAGCATTGGTTCGGATGTTAAGAATGATTGATTCATGTTTGGGAAGGATTTTGCGTGATAAAAATTGGTTCGCAAGGTCGGCAGTGTAATGATTCTTCAATTCGGGCACGTGCAGTACTTGGCGACCTGTATTTCAGATTTTCTCAGCCCTTTCCTGCATGTGCCAGAAACACCACTGAACCCGCCAGTGAACATGTCCGGCCCAGTGTGGCTGCCAACCTCATGTGAAACACGCCGCTCTCTCTCTGTCAAACTGTAATGATACTGTCGATGGACGAAAACCATTTCGCACCACCTAAGAAACCCTGGAATGATGATTCCCTTGTACCAACAAACAATGGTTTCCCATGGTTTCAAAGTGGTGCAGGATTTAATCCTGCAGCCACAGTAGTAGACAGCGCTATTCGCAAAGAAACAAGTGTGCTAAAAAGACTATCAAAAGGGGTCCTGATAGTCTCAGCTTTTGGAAGACCTTGGAGTGGGCTGACGACTGCATACCCCAATGGGGCTCGAAGGAAAAATGCGTGTCAGTGAGTCAGTGAGTGTGTCTTTTCTGTTGATAGGAAACCAAAAGGAAACTCACCGTTTTTCAGAGTTCTCTATATTCAGACCCATGTTTGCATGCACGGTCGAGGTTGAGTCACCGCTTGCACCTCCATGTGGACCTGGAAGGATTGCCAATGCTGCATCAGTGGGTGTGTGGGTGTGTGGGTTTTTGAGGGTATCCTTTAGGACAACTGCATATTGTGGGACTTCTCCGTGGAGACCCCAAATTCATTCGAGCCTTGCAGGCGCCGTGCGAGCCCTTCGCTCCCTGTCCGGCCGCGATGCCACGGTGCTGCTGCGAGGCGCACAAGCAGCTACCCAAACCAGGGTTACTGAAAATATCTTAAAATACAGCAATGTTCAAGTACATGGCAGAATTCCCTTGGGACAGAGCTATCACTGCAGGTTCACTGCAATGGTCACGGGTCAGGCTCACTGTTGCCTTGCTGCTAGCGGGCCATGCCATGTCTTGCTACCCCAGCAAGAGCAAGTGGGATCTTCAGGTTTTCCTTCCGATTCGCTTGGAGCCCTGAACTCCTGGAATTCCGATTCTCGAGATCTTGAGGAGTCACGGCCATGATCGCCTCCCTTTGGCTGGGAGGCCCTGACCTCCAACAGAAAAACGGGGGGGGTCCATGTTTGCCACGGATTCGGAACCCCAGTAGTGCTCTTTCTCACCCCTTTTTTGGTTGGGGATGGGTGCCCTTATTTTCTAACCTCTCTACTGGAGGACCTAGTGGAAATTCGGAAGGCGTCGGTTTCTCCGCGGGATGTTCTCTCCTTCAGGTTTGGGCGCGGCCTCTGCCTGGCAACTCTCCTTGGACTTCCTGCAGACCATGCGGACACCCGGAAAAGAAATCCGGGTGGAGATCTCTGGGGGGAATTTTCGGTGGTCCAAAACGGGGGAGTTGGTTTCCAAGGGATCCGGTAGAGGTCTCCTGGAAGGGTTTTTCTTTGTACGGGGGAGTTTGTGTCCAAACAGGGATCCTTTTACATGCTTTGGGTTTCCTTTGACTGAACTTTACACAGTCAACAGCTCCGTCTCAGGTTGACTCCAGTTGAACCAGTGATCAGAAGCGGAGGGCGCCTTCGTACGAAACGGAAAGTTCCAGAAGCCAACGCACAAATAAGGGCAAATCTTTGAAGCGGTTCTGAGTTTCCACCATCACCCTTCAGCCAAGGCTCCCTTCAGATGTCAGCAAACTCGGATTGAGGGTACTCCAGGCACGGATCTCAAACCTGTAACTCTGACGGATTCGCTATGCCGTGGATGCTCAAACGAGGGCTACAAGACAAACGTCAAATCCACGGGGGTACTTTTCTGTCCACTGCCACAGAACCTGAGGTTTCGGGGAAAGCCCTTGAAAACCATTTTCCTTCAAAATGGACCCTCTGGAGGGTTCCATGTCAAGTGGGGTTCTATGTTAGAATTAGCCAAAAACAACGGTGTTTGACTAACCTGCAAAAAAAAGAAAAAGACAAAGCTTCGGAGCTTCCTGCTTAATTCCAGGGAGTGTAGGAGGGTGTCCAAGACCTTGGAATCAACCCCTAGGAATCAACCCCTTGATGTCCAACGCCCACTTTGCACCAAGGGCCCGAAGCTCCGCAAGCTCCGCAAGCTCCGCGTCGCTGGTCCACTGGAACTGCGGCCTCTCTGCGATGGGCTGGTGCACGGCGATCCAGCTACGCCAGCTGCTGCTTGGTTCACAGGGTGTGCGGGAGTCGGGGGGGAGGTCAGGGGCATGGGCATGTGTGTGTGTGTGTGGGTTTGTTTGTTAATGCGTGTGTGTGTGTGTGTTGTCTGGTGTGTGTTGTCTGGTGTGTGTTGTGTTGTGTGTGTTTGTGTGTGACAAAGCTGGATGTACAATAACCCCAAACGACTGGCGAGTGCATGTGCGATTTCCTTGAAATGGTCCGACATTGTGGCTCCCAGTTTTTACAATCTCAAAAGGGCCGCCTAGTCTGGCTAGGTGATCAGGTTTTAGCATGTGTCACAGTAGGATGCACAAGTGGCTCAGCGGTTTTGCACGACGGCCGTTTGCAGATCTATAGGCTGGATCGTCAACCAGGTCAAAGGTCGTCCTGAACGTACGAAGCAGTGGAACAGGACACCTATCACAGGAAGAGTTTCCACGCTGCATTGCAGGAATATGTTGAAACTTGGTGGCTCCCAGCCATCCGGTTCCGTAGCTTCTTAGCTTTTTAGTGTTGAGTGGTTGGGTTTCCATTTAACCCACTAACAGATGAACTTTTCGCAGGGGATCTGAAAACGGACAGCCCAGGAAAGAGTTGGGGAAACCTGGCAAATGCGTTTTGATCAGCTCTGCCAAGAGGGGGTCCTGTCATGCAGAAACCATTGAATGTATTGCACGTGTCTCGGGGTTGATTCCCCATTCTTTTCAACCATCGTTCTTTTCAAAAACCAGCGGTTTCCACTGGGTTTCTGATGGTTTCCTGAAAACAAGGATCCCTGGAAAGAATGGGGAAGGTAGACCTAGCATTTGAGCTCCTGTACCACGTTCTTGCCAAGTTAATTTCTGTCTTTCTCAGCCAACGGCTCGGCTCTCATCAAGGATTATTGATGATCAGCTTGTGGGTCTATGCGTGAAGCACAAAGTAGTCTTATGGCGTTTGCCATATCAACCGGAAGTTCGGGCTTGCTCTAATCGTCTTACTGTTTACTCTGACAAGAAACCACCACCACATAAACCTGCGGAACTTACTACAAGATCAAGAAACAGCGCCTCGCATGAGATCTGCTCGCTGAAAGCATGTAAACAACCGGCCACACATTCAAGTAGCGCAGTTTCACACGTACAATGCGCTCTTTGGCTAAGTGGGACAAAACGCCCCTACTGGCACAGCGGCCACTTCCATCTTTTTGAGCAACATGGATTTTGGAGGAACCTGCCTGATGCAAGCTTGAACACTCCCTGGCAAGCCGTGTCTCAGTTGAGGCAGCTGGAGCTTGACACCATCAGTGACGTGGCTGCCTTTTCAGTCAAGTGCTGCATCAGCTGGGCGGAGCACGGGAGGCTTGAAAAGACCTTTGAGAGGAAGGGATGTGTGTGCGCACCCCACAGCAAGCGCATGAGCCAGGTGTAGAACAGCAGAGGCCCATGATAAAGGATCCTTTCTACAGGATCGCTGATCCCATGTCAGATTTGTGAGTTGCAGAGACCGGCGCAGAGTAATCATCATACCATTGATTTCACCAACATGCGGCGTGCGGGCCTGAAATTTTGGTGTGGGCAGGTCTCTTCCTCTCGACGATCGTTGCAGCTTCGGTGCTGTTTCAAGAACGAGAACCGCAGCTCATGTTTGGAGGTAAGTCCCTTGCAATTTAGATGGTCTTCTTCTATGAACTGCTAAGGCTTCAACACCATCATAGGCAACTGCGAGCAGGGCAAGAAGTGGACTTGTGCGCTGGATGTGCTGGCGGAAATGGACCACCGAGCCATCGGAAAGGAGGGGAGCAGTCGGTAAGACTTTTGATGTCGGTGCTACTCCTCCATTGCAGTGCTGCCGTGGGTTAGTGCTCGGGGTGGGGATGAGGTGGGGATGATCATCGCGAGTTATCAACCAGCTGCAGTGCCTGGCTAGTCCAGCTAGTCCTGGTCCGAGGTCTTGCTTGTTGAGTTGCATTCTAGGATGGCCGTTACTTATGATCGGCTTATTGATCGGACTGATCTTGCCATGAGCGATCAATCCATGCTGCCAACTGCCAATATGACAAAGTGTGTGTCTCAATTAAAGAAGCAGCAATTGCTGACAAGAAGCGGAAGAGTGAATTGTTTAAACCAGTGCAATACAGGGAAAAAGGCTCCGAGCGAAACAGAGACTCCTCATGGAGTTCCAGTGCTACTTTTCGTGGGTACAACGGCACAACCTGTTGGCCCGCTCTGGGAAGAAGTTCCTGCAACTGACACCTCCCACTGCCATCAAGCAGTGTACTTGCCAGGACACAGGCTCCCGCAACATCATCATGAACGTCTTGGACAAGTGCGACAGGTCCATTCAATAACTAGGGGCTTGGGCTTGCGTCAGTCTGCCCTCATTTCCAGACGCCTCGTGACTTCGATTCTGTGAAGCCTTGTGCTGTTGACGTTGGACTTTATGCGTGATCAGTTCTTTGATGCGTTGTACTGGCCTAGCTTGCAAGTGTAGGCCCAGCCTGACAAACCATCAGGATTTTGGTGGCTGTGTGACAAAGGTTAGAAAGGCACCCAACTTTGTTTCCAGAGAGTTTGGTGGTGTCTCGCAAAGACGTTGAGGTGAGAAGTATGCTACGAAATACATAGACGCGGCTATCTTGCAAATGTATACATTCCAAAGATGATTGGTAGGTGTAACTTGCAGGAGCTACTGTGCTTGAAGCGCGGCCTACCTAGTTGACAGCTTGTTGAGAGATCCCGGAATTCCATGAAGATGCAAGTCCCGGGTTGTCAAAATCAGCGGCCTTTTTATCCACTTCAAAAGGCGGTAGCGGCCCCCGGGGCCAAGAAGGGGACACATTTGTGACACCCCCCCCCACTGGCTCCATCATTCCACCAGTGTCAAGGTTACCCCGCCAAGTGGTAGGTTAAAGGGAAACCACCCATTCCAGTGTCTGACTTTGATCAGCCCCAGAAACACAGGTGTCCTTTTCGGTTGTTTTGCTAGAAAAGTAGATGGCCCTGGTTTACCTGGTGGTTTCATCATCTACCAGGGCCATCTATTTCCCCTAAAAAGACACCTATGCCCAGAAATAGGTGTGGCTCCAATTTAAACAGGAGGGGTTACGCAGTTTTGGTCCATGTTTTCACTTGCCAGGGCAAACCATTTTGGTACCGGTTTTTTGAGCCACCCAAATGGTCCACACAATCCTTCTCCCATCCGTGAGCAACTGATCCTCCCGGAAGGTGGCGCGAAGTCCTAGAGCTTCCGCGGGAGAGTGGCGACCTTGTGACCTACACCATCCTTTTACGTGCCTCGGCCAATGACCGGTAGGACATGTCCCATGGTTGTCAGGGGCCCTCCAAAAAGGGGACCCCCAAAAAGGAAGCCTTCTCCCCTAACTGGCCTTAGTCGCTATTAGCCCCTATTGGGATTGGGGAATCGGCCCCTATTGGGGGACCCTTGACAACCATAGGAACATGGCGAGTGTTGCTTCTTTTTTGACTCCATGTTCTTTCACTCGAAGTTCTCAAAGTTGCGAGACAAGTGTAGAAGACCAGCCAACGCAACGCACGATAGCAACAGTTTTGAGAGACGGCGACAATGCAAGAAACAACTCTGCAGAATCATGGCAAAGAAGGCACTGGCCAAAGATGTCAGCCACATATCTCGTCAATGAATCAGCTTCGTCAGGCAAGCCTAGGGGCTACGGGTGCGATGGCTCAAGGCCTTTCTCGTTCACTGGGGGTGATGAATGTGGGGTCAACTTTCATTATTTCTTTGGTGCGTTTGTCCTGAGGCGCCACTGGGAGATTGGGCTGGCAGGAAGCACTGAGTCTATTGGATGCTTGGCTTGACCGGGTTTGATCGTTTGGGGGCATGACCGGTTTTAGGATGGTACGACGCTTGCATGAAGCGTCGTGTTATTTTTGGAGGAACAAGCTTTGGGATATGGCTGTGGCTCAAAATCGTTATGGGATCCCATTTTGGGGGAGGTGAATTCACCACCCATTTTCGAACCTATTTTAGTGGTTGGATTGAATCGGATGTTCACTGGGGGTACGGGTTTTTTGATTTTGACCCCCATGGCCATAGGAGTCTCCCAAAAAACACCCATACGGGGACTTTGGTGCATGTTGCCAAGGGATGTTAGGACTTTAACTTTTTGCCAACAAATTTGTTTTTTCCGCAAAAGCAATCGCTAAAAGTTATTCACTCTTAGGGGAGCAGATTTCGCAACCGAGGGCAGTCTCTGATTCTTGCCAAGGCAGAGGCACAAGCCTCGCAGCTGCGGCTGGACACTGGCCTGGGGAACTCCGCCCTCAGCAGCGTCTTGCCGCAAATACGAGTCAGAATCAAAATCTGGCGGCTCCCAGCCGTCCCCTCTGGGGTAGACATGGAATACATTTTACATTTTACCAGTGACTCAAAGGGAAGCAAACAATGGATGACAATCTATAACTGGGCCTAAGTCTAATCACGCCCTTAGCTTTTTAGATCCTTTTAGCGTTTAGTGGTTGTTTCCGAATTTTACCCACTAAAAGTTATTCGCTTTTAGCGAGGGATCTGAGGGCAGCCCAGAAAACCTGGCATGAAAATGGTCTAGCCAACACCATGTAAAGAATTGAAAAAGGCGAGCGAAGGCAGACATTTATGGTTGGGACTATCCCTTGCTAAGCTTCACCTATGTGGGTGGAGTTCCTTCTTAGTAGGCTATTTTAGTAGTTTCAAACAAAACGTTTGGAGTTGTTTGGTTCTTCCACTCTGGAAGTGAGTAGTTCCCCCTTAGCCCATGGTCCAAATCCCTACAGTCCGAAGAGCTGAGGGAACCCATCAGAGAGCGGCTGATGGATTGAAGACCGATGGGTCTTTGGTTTCCCAGTAAACGGCTCAGGTTTTTGCATGTGACTAGAGGTGACCGACTTGTGTAGATATGCTACTATCCAGTAGGGCGACTGCTGGGTTTGGAAGAAGTCAAGCTTGATGGATGTTTGTTTTGAGTAGGTTTGGGGCCGCTTTCTGGGATGCTAAGTGAACCTTCTTGCAAGTAGCAAACCAAATTCATAGAGACAGACGACCCACTTCGGTATCTCGCACAGAATTATGCCTCTAATCCCTTATGGTTCAACCTGCTCGGAGTTCCCACATGGGCGACTCTCGACTCAGGACAGTTGCAGTGTCCTACCACTCTTTCGGACACATCATATATATATATATATATATGTAATATATCATATGTTAACACGCTCAAATTTGCGCCAACCAATTTGGATCAGGATCATGTCGGACCAATCAGCTTGTATTCTCTCACCTTTCATTGTTCAACAGCACAACCTGTTAGGATGTCTTTCACTTTTCGGGATTTCGGGCCGCCACGCTTTGCGCGGTCCTCTGGAAGGAATCGGACTCCCTTTTTGGCTTGTTGTTTGGTTGGGCAGCATGGTTGCAGCATTTCTGGGGAACAGCTTCAGAAGCATATGGATATACTTTCTCGGTAATGTTGACACCGGACCCCCTGTTTATGAATATGGGGGTGTCCCTGGTTTTAGTGGGGATTCATCACTGGGGGGGAACACCCCCATATTAAACAGAGGTTTGTTAAAATCCGGGGTCAACATTACAAAGCAGAAATCATCATCGCTGTTTCTCCTTCGTTCCCCGCAGATGGGGTTGGACTGGAAAATCTGCCCGGTGCAGCCGCTCCGCCGGTAGATACAGTCAGTCTGACACGGGGTCTGAGTATGTCTGAGTGTGTACGCCCAGGTCAAGCACAGGTCCGGGTGTGATTCTTTGGGGCCATGTCCGGTCAGATACGCGGAGCTTGAAAATTGAGAGCTTGACTTTCAGGTCTGGGTCTGCGTGTTTACGGGACTTGAGAGCATCAACTTGGCTAGCGTTGAAAGAAACAGAACCCTAGGGGTACCCTCCCCATTCTTTCCAGGGATCCTTCTAGAAAACCTCCGGAAACCCGGGGAAAATAGCGGGTTTTCGAAAAGAACGATGGTTGAAAATCATGGAAAACGAATCAACCCCTATAGAACAACCCAATGATGTTTTTTTTTAATGAACATCCAATGTCAGCCCCCCCCCCCCCCCGTTTTTTACAACCTAGGAAAAAAAGGAGGCCGCGCAGGACCTAGGGAACAAAGAGAGAACATACCTTCCGCCCACTGCCGGTGGGCCGAAAATTTGTGTTTCCGCAGGCCAAAAGGACTCCTGGCGCGCGGCCCTGGCGACGGGCGACGCCTTCAGAGCCTTAGCAAAAGGTGGGCTTCCGGGCTTCCAAACTGCGCCTTGGTGGCAACTGGGGGTTGATCAATACTCCCTTCGGCCCCCGGTTTGACCATGGGTAACTTGTCCCATGTGGTTGAAACATCATCTTTTTGATGGTCACCCCATGTGAAGGACCTTTTGATCAACCCCCAACTCCTTTTGACTTTGGTCAAGGACCCGTTGCATAGAGGGTTTAGACAACCAACGCAAGGATTCCGGTAAGGAAGCCATGGCCGTTGCCCACATAAGGATTTCTGGTGATGATGCATCTGTGCTTCGCACAACTGGGGGACCCCCTCCAGGTGGTAGGTTTTCTTTTGGTTCGCCTTCATCATACCTGTCACGATATCTGTACCTGACCTTGCGAAAGCGCTGCGCCTGACATAAACCGCATGCGTGCCTTCGGCATTTCCAATGCTGAGTGACGTTTGTGTATCGGCCAAATGGGCAATTGTCAACTTGGGGTCCAACAAATTGCAGTGTTCCACGTGTTTTGCCTTTAAACCAGCCTCAAAAGGACCCCCGGAGCCTAAAAACACCACGCTCACAGCCCAAACTTGTTGGACGCCATTTTTAGGAAGCGGCGGGCTTCCGCAAGACATCATCTCTTGCAATGCGGCCATCAGCGCGTGTGAGCAGGCGCGACCAGCAAGGCTTTACATCGAGTCTTCGGCCTTTGGACTTGTGCTTTTGTATGTTGTTGGTTCAAAAAAACAACATATTTGGCACAGCTCTTGTTAGGCTTTGCGTGTGCTGGTTATTATTGGCGATGATCTTTTCGGGGTTGATCATCATCATGCATCTATTCAACTAAGCAAAGCACTTTATTGATGGATGTTTCTTGAATCGCAAGCTAAAATTAGGGCAAGACAATGCCAATACTGAAGCAACCAGATTCCCGCCGACAACTGCAGTCGCGGCGAGCTGAGAACAGAGCTTTCATGTTCCCTAAACCATTTTATCTATGATAAATGCCTTGTGTGGCGCAGTAAGCATTTGATGGTGCACAAGGCCTCGCAAAGGGCGGAGCCCATTTGGACAAGGACCGAAAGGGAATCTCCTGGTAGAGCATGTGGCCCTATTGACAAACGCATTGTTTGTCCCGCATGAATAAAAAATATATCACGAGGGGGAGCGCATTGCTACTATCTCTCTCTATATATATGTATATTTTACATATAAGACTCATCGCTTACCGTGCACCAATATCATGCGCTTGCTTCGCTGTATTCAATACCGATCGAATGGTCAAAGTTCTGGGTGTTTTGAGGTTGAACGGGAAGTCGTCCGCAGGAAAGAATCCCATGCCATTCACTCATTTCGCAGTTTCATGGGCGGCTGAAGCCATATGGCCGGTCGAAGCCAGAAGCCGCTTGAGTTTTTACCGGCTAAAAGAGTTTCTCAAAATGGTGGACCCTCTTTTGGTGGTGTTTGAAGGGCAGTCAACAATACACATATTAGGGAACCCCTATTTTGAGAAACACAGACTTTCGAGCGTGATTGTCGTTGTCGTTGTCGTTGTCGTTGTGGTTGTCGCAACCGTCGTCGCTGTCGCTGCCGCCACCATCTGTTTTGGAGTGGCCGTTGTGGTTGTGATAGATTTGGTCCATTGTCATGGCAGGGTTGTTAGAGCCCCTCGTGGCTGTCGTTCTCACGGTGATCGTCATCATCGACGTCATGGTTGTTGTTTCTGTGTTGTTGCAGAGGTGCGTTTTGCTTGGATGTTAGGACTTTAACTTTTGGCCAACTGGTGGGTTTTCCATTTCACCACTAAAAGTTATTCACTTCTAGCAGGGGAGCAGATTTCGCAACCGAGGTTTGTTTAGGTCGCTGTTCCGGTACATTTCCCTGTGCTTGGCTGCGCATCCGGACTGCAGCGCGCACGTTTGCCTTTCTCGAGGCTTTTCATTGGCTGAGCACCGTGCGCTTGCTTCAAGCCGCAGGCGGCGGCGGGGGAGGTGCTTTCGTTGTTTTCGGGTTTGGATTGGATTTATTTTCTGGATTGGATAGGTGCTGATTTCTGTTTCTGTTTTTGTAGTTTTCGGTTTTCGATTTCTTTTGTTGCCTCTAGCTATTGACTTCACACTGAGGAATGCACCTCCTAACCAAACCACCAACACCCACAACCAATTGCGGTCCCACCGAATGTTGCCGGAATGTTGGGTACTTGCTGCCGCGGTTCATCAGCAAACACTCTCAAGTGAATGCTTGTGACTGACATGTTTGTGCAAATGCACCCTGAAACTCAATTTATCATGCGGCCGTCGTACCTCACATGTTTGCTCTTTGGTGAGCATTCGAGCATTCAAATGAAGCGCAACTGTTGGAGAAGGAGCGCATTTGGTCCCAACTTCATTGTCGCAGGCGACTAGCGTGAATGCTGAATGCTGCTTCACTGTCTCTGACATGTTCAGATACTTGACCTGACTCCGCCTGATTTCCAGCTAGTCAAGAGCCTTGCTTTGCAGTCAATCTGCAGGACATACACTATGTCTAATTGTTAGGGCTGCCCTACGCACCAAAATGGTAGATGGAAGCCTTCTGAGGACACCTTTCCTGGTTTGTTGGGGGGGAGTTTGGTTGCTACACAAGTTTTTGGTAAAGTCTTGCGTAGCTCCCAGCGCAGTTGTTGGCACAGGTGACCGGGCATTGCAGTTTTCGCACTACAGCTCCTCGGTGGCAGCTTTGGAAGGGGTTCAGGGTTTGAGCTGCATGACAAAAAACACCCAATGACAGACGAGGAATGGGTCAACGGAAGGTGAAACATACTGTGGATGGACAAAATCCGGCACCACCCTGGTGTCTGACGATTCCCCTGTAAATAGCAACAAACGTTTTTGTTTCAACCGTGGTTTCATTCGTGGTGCGAAGGGGTGCAGCTCGGGTACCGTGCCCGGTGGCAATGAAGCAGATGAAAGCGTGTGCTTTTCTCGCTTGGGCAGTGGTGTCAAAAAAATGATTCTGTGTCCAAGTCTTTGGCCCCTTACATTACTTGGCTCAAAGGCACTAACCTTCGAACTGATTCTGTTGGTTGCCGTTTGACTTCCAAATCCTTCTGCCGGGATATGGGGTTAGTCCCAGAGCACAACAACCATGACGGCAGGCAGGTGCGCCAGAAGTTCTTTCGGGATCCCTTGGCAGCTGAAGGGATCCTCAGCCAGTGGACCCACTTGACACCTTTGTCCAGCTGGTGGCTCTCCCTTTGCGCCAGGATACACAGAGCTGCTCCAATTAGCCTGCCAGCCATCCAGGAATGTCTCGAAACTGAGGACAATGCTTTCTTCTTGCCATTCAGAGTGAGACAGACAGAGAGAGAGCGAGAGACAGAGAGAGAGAGAGAGCGAGACAGAGAGAGAGAGAGCGGAAGGAAACAGGAGAGATGGAGAGTGAGATGGAGAGATGGAGAGAGAAAACTATAGACAGATGGTGGATGGAATCTATGGACGGATAGATAGACAGAGAAGATGAGAATAGAGCGATGCAGAAAGGGAGAAAGAGAGGGAGAGAGAGAGAGAGAGAAAGAAAGAGCAACACGAAAGTGCTTGTTTTTGTTGAGATATAGTGATATAGATAAATCAATAAGATCAATGGCACCATGCAGAAAACGGCCATCAAAGGCACCCAAGCGAACCCCAAATTGGGCGGTGCATGGTTCTGCTGTCGGAGGCTGCAACACGGCGGCCAGCGCAGCATCAAAGGCCTCGCAATGGCCAAAGGCCGGGTGCTCCAGAAGAATCTGCGGGGGTTTAAACCATGTGTTCCCTCCATAGATTCCCAGTATTTTCCCATATGTGCCCTTGTTTCTCCGGTTTTCCTGTTGTTCCATAGTATTTTCCCTATATGTTCCTCTTTTTTTTCTGTTTTGCGGGGTTTCAAACCATACTGATGGTTGAAATCGAAATCCATTTCGCGGCACCTAAGCAACCATGAGACATCATTGTTTCTTGGTAACAGGGGAATCAGCATTCTAGGGTTTCTTCGGTGGTGCAGGATTTTGTTAATCCACAGTATGTTCCCCATAGCTTCCCGGTATTTTCCCTTACGTTCTCTTTTTTTCCCGTTTTGCGAGGGGAATCTCAAAGTGAGTTTCCTTGAGGCCTTGCCCTCCCAACAATCATGGAAGCTGACAGGAGCGTTTTGGAAGACGACTTTTCTTTTGGGGAACTCCTTTGTTTGCTTTCATGGTCGTTGGAAGGAGGGTAGGGGATGCCTTGCTGGCGCTCAGTAGGGCATGCCGGGTGTTGGGAATGAACCGTTTGGGGGATCTCCTTTATAGGAAACCACAAGTTGTTTTTCTCGGGTCATTCCATGTTTCCCGATCGAACCGATCGCCAGATGTTTGAAGTGATGGCAGGCCTTAGACCTTCTCAGCGGGTCAAAGGATGTGGTGGCCAGCAGTGCAGGCGAGCAAGGGCTTGTCGTTTCTTGTGCGACCTGGAAGCATTTGGGGTCCTGGTCATTACAGGTTTCAACAAATCTTATCATGTGTTCAATGTGGGCAGTCGCGGAAGCAGCTTGCGCTTTTTTATTTTTTTTTCACGAGCAGTCGAATGCAACGTTTAGATGCTCGCGAAAGCCCATGCTTAGCTACGGGTTTGTTGTACAATTTTCCGTTCCCCAAAAAGTTGCTTTGGTTTGCCACTTCATCCCCGGTTCCCAATAAAGCCGCAGGCTCCGGCGGGTTCAACCACCGGACCAACATGATCCAACTTGCATGTGATATCCTACGGGAGAGGAACAGCTCCAGGGGGTCAATCTTGCCGATTCTCTAGCTGGAAAACAACACCAGCGATCACTGAAGTGAGACAATCCCGTGGAAGAGTGTTTCTGCCATATGTGTCCTTTTTGGGTTAGTTTGTTTATAAAAAGGCGAGTTCCACTGGTTTAGATTGGTTTTCCACATACCACTGCCATCATTTTTTCCCCAAACGGACTGGAGTTTCTGCGCTTCTTCTAGCGACACCAGGCGTGCTGGCCTTTGAGAAGGCTCGGAAGTGGGACTGCGCACTGAACTTTCTCCCGGCGAATGTGGTGGCAAGGCGAGTTTGCTCGAAACGCGAGGGTTTGGGGCAGCCGACTTTGCGCGAGTTTTCACCGACCGACCGGACGCGGAAAGGCGGGGCTAAGTTCTGGTTTTGCGTTGCACTTCCGCGGCTTGGTGCGTTAACGCCCTCCTTTTCCGGATTCTGTGTGGTATTTGTTTTGCTTACTGTATGTTACTGGGGGTGGACGTGTTTGTGAGTGTGTGCGTGTGTGTGTGTGTGTGCAAAGTGTTGTCAGAGCCGTGTGTTCTGGTGCGGGTGTCTGTGTTTCTGTCTGTGTAAGTGTCTGTTTACATGTGCCGCTAGGTGCGAGTGAATGTGCGTGTGAGCTTACATGTTCTTGTATAGCGTGTGCTTGCGTGTGTGCCTGGGTGGCTGCATGCAAGCAAGTGTGCGTGTGCATGTGCGTGTGCCTGTGCCTGAAAGTGCGATTGCATGCGTGTGTTCTGTGAGTGCGTGGGTGCGCGTGTTCGCCTGTTTGGTGTGTTTGGTGTGTTTGTGTGGTTGTGTGTTTGTGTGTTTATGTGTTTGTGTGTTTGTGTGTTTATGTGTTTGTGTGTTTGTGTGTGTGTGTGTGTGTTTGTCTGTGTGGTGTGTGTGTGTGTGGTGTGTGTGTATGTGTATGTGTATGTGTATGTGTATGTGTATGTGTTTGTGTGTGTGGTTGCGGGCGTGCGCGCTTGCATGCGCGCGTGTGTGGTTCTTTTTGCGCACGTCACCGCTTGCTACCCAGCCAAATTTGCAGTTGCTTTCTTCGCTCTGCCTCGTGCAACTGGGGGCAGGTCTTAGGCTCCAATATTCCCGTCGGAGTTTGGCCGTGCCAGTAGGTCTCGCAGCCTGCGGCGCTTTGCTGGCTCGCACTGAAACTTCGCGATCATGGAAATCGTCCTCGCTCCTTTTTTCGCCAAACTTGCCCTTGGTATCTCGATGCGCTCCTCGATTCGGTGACTTCTGCTTGAACTTTTTCGACGGTGTCCTTTGAGGTGCAGCTTTTGTGGCGCTGTTGGTTTGCTTCACGCTTGCTGCTTGCTGGCTGAATCCAACGGTGAGGCAACTGCTAAAGGGCGATAGGCCTGAATGCATTGTTTCCCAATGCTTTGAGGCGAACGATCAGCACCTGCCCCCCCTACCAGGATGTTTATTGCACGCGCGAACCCCGCAGAACAGGCTCTGCAAGCCACTTGAACTTTGTGCAAGTCTCGGCACATGTCGCCATGGGTCATAACCTATGCCTCCATTTTGGGGTGGATGAACACCCAGGTGCCAAGGGGTACAGGGTTTTGACCCACAGCCATGTTGCTCTGAGCAAACTTCTTCATCAATTTGGCAGGCGCCGGTAAGGAGTTGCAGGTGTCCGATACCTCGCGCAGGCCAAAGGAGCAAACACGTCCCTGCGCGATCGGCAACTTGAAAGCAATCGTTGGCGCGCATGCGTTTTCCAGGCATGATGAACACTTCCTTGCGCAGGCACACGGAATGAGAGTGCATTTTCTTTGCGCCATGAATATGTGCGATGTGTTTCGGACTGGCAGGCCTGGGTGCACACGCTTTCACTGAGCCTCATGATCATGCAACCTCTTGCCTCCAGTCGTCAATGCTTTGAGTTTGAGCCGCGACTCAAAAGGCTGTGGTGCGATGCATGTTGGTTACAGTGATGCAAAGAAAAACGAGTCACGGAAGCCGAGAGCTTCGAATCAGATTCAAAAACGGGCTTGAGAAGCCTGGAGTCTTTTGTGGCATTGCGTGACCGGGTGTCTGACCTTGTATACTTGTATGGCGTTTGGTTTGTGTTTGAAGACTTTTGACGCCAGCCAGGTGCCATAGATGTTAATTCATCGTTTCTGAATATCCAAAGTGACCTGTTATCATATCGCGACAGTCATTGAAGCTATTTGTGGTAGGAACAGACAATGATGGGAACAGCACGGTCTCACTAGACCTCTCCATCGTTTCTCCACTGTTTTGGGGAGAAGCGGGACCCTCTCGATCTACCATTCGGTTTTCGGATGTCAGCCAGCGTTGATAAGAGAGCCATTGGCAGGAGTGCCTTCATGAGCGCTTGCGAGAAGACAAACCAGTGGGAGAGAGCTGCAGACGCCCTATCTCAGCCACTTGTCTCTGAGAGAGGTTTCGTGTTTTTGAGGCTTGCGGTACCCTTTGCAGGTGGGTTCAAGCTGCCATATCAGGAGGCCCTAGATGTTAGCGCATACTCACTGGTCCCGATGGATACTTGGCTTGGATTGTATGTCAAGAATCGTGCATCAACATTTGGGTGTGGGTAAAAAATAGGTACCCAACATGGAACCCTGGTAAATGGAGAAGTTGACTAAGACCTGCGGCCCACATGCTGGTGGTTTAATTGTGACCCATACCCATTTCGGGCCCCTGAAGCCATCCCGAGACTTCAAGAGCACCCGGAAGGATGGCGCATAGACGTCGCTGGAAATCCAGTCGGCAGTCCAGATGTGAGTTGGAACCAAGGTCCGACAAATGTACCACAGCTTGTGAGATGTTTGACGTGTGAAATGTGAACCTCTCATATCTCGAGCATTTTTCGGGGGATTCACAGTACAAACGTTCCTTCAGGCGACCATTACATTGGCCAAGCAACGGGCAGGCAGCAAACTCCTCCGATGTTGCGGTTCACGATGTTCGGACTTCGAGACGGCACCCCCCCATTCGGACGCAGAGGGCCGTGGAAAATCATCCCGTGTCGTTCAGTCACACCCGTTCGATGAGTCGCGTGCTTGACACCCATCGCATGTTGGATGGCCATTTGAGCGCGTTGTGCTTGTGAGTGTGTGATGTGTGTTTTTTGCGTGGAACCTTCTTGCAGATCAAATTCTTGCGTGGAACCTTCTTCCGGCCAGAGGCTTCCCGTGGCCGCTTTGCAGCCCAGCCTGGTGGCATGCAACGCCGCCCTCAGCGCTTGCCGCTGGCGCGTGGCTGCTAGGAGAGCCACTGGGCCCGATGGGACGGGTGGAGGTTGCACTGAGTAGTTGCGAGTTTTGAGCTGGAGCTGCGGCACTTTGCGGTTTTGCGCGCCTCATTGCACCGAGAAATTCAGCACTCTTTTCCCCGTACATACCTGGGTAACAAGATTGACGCTGCGTCGTGCGGGTAAAGGTTATGTTTTGACTGGCCCCAGTTGGGTATCCTTTCAGGGCTCGTGCCAAGAGCATCTTTTAGGTCGCAAGATGGAATCCAGCAAAAAGCCCGAAGGAGATTTCTCTGAACAGAGGTCCGTGTAGTGTGCGGGAGAGACCCTGATTGGCTTGAGATGGTTTAGGGTTTGGGAAAAAAATCCAAAGAATCCGGAAAAGAAAAAATCCAAAATACATCCGCACCTTTTAGGGTTTCGGGTTGCTGTCCTTGTGCGGATCTTTTTGGGCGTCTGCCCTCTTGAAAGCCAGATGGAGCAGGCACAGCGTGGAGGGCCCGAGCCAAACTCAACGAGATTGACAAAGCCAGCATGGGCCCGAGAAACTACTGGAAATTAGGATGGATTTACGATTTTAGTAGGGAAAGAAAGAATCACTGAAGACTGGAGTGGTTCAAGCAAATCAGCGGGAAGATGCTGATTTGCAAGAAACCACGGGCGAATCGTGACAAGTATGGCTGAAGTGTTGTGTGCCCTGCACAATACAAGCTGGCTAATCAATGTGTTTGATACTTGCCTTCAAAAGCAGATGTGTTGAACGACACGCATGCAGGTTAAATTTGCTCTCCATGTTTGAGAAGCTTTCCCTGAAACCTGTCTGGCAGAGTGCACCAGAGTGGTCATGGTGTTGAAAGCCTTGAAGCGTTGAAGGCTGAAGGTTTTTTTTTTTTTTTTTTTTATATGCGTGTACCCTTGTGTTGTTGCTTTGTTTGTGCGGTTTGGCACAACCCACATGATGTCCGGCAGGGCCCTTTGAACCCAGGGGTATGCAATAGAAGCTGTTCTGCTGTCACCAAGTTTTGGCCATACCTCAGGGTTCGAGTCCTGCCCCCAAGTGACGCCAGCATGATGCGGTGATCCAGCCGTGCTCAATGCCCAAGGCATAAAATTCCACTCGTTATTTCCGATGTGGCCCGGTGAAAGAGTCTGAATGGACGCCTCGTGCAAGCATAATTGTACACAAGACACCGTACATGTGGACACCAGTTTGGACAAGCTAGCTGGGTACCAGCCAGCTCCAAACAATCCATGTTCACATGTTGAACGGTGGCCTCACCCGTTGGCAGCTCTGTCAGAAGCTCAGCTTCTCATGGCACTACAAGTAACATGGAGCAAGACGTAGGCGATGTGGTTGAAGCACTGCGGAGCTGGCCTTGAGGGTACCCCTTTTTAGTGGTTTTACAGGGAAACCGACGTGGAACACCGCCATAAACTCCAGTTTTGGGGGGTCCACCAAAAAACAACACATTGGTTATCCTGGTAAGAGCCCTCCATATCTGAACCCCTGGTATGAACCCCTGGTTTATGGGTTTATGGGAAATCAGCCCAGGGTCCAAAATGGTGATTTGTCCGGAAGAAGGACCGAAATCCAATCAGCCTTTGAGTCTCCCCTGTCACTTCGTGGAGAACCAACAGGAACACTGACATAGACCAGATCACTATTTGGGCTCCACTAAAAAACGCCACCCCCATGGTTACCCTCAATAAGAACCCCATCATCTCCGTCACTTGCGCAGGATGCTGGCCACGCTTCGCCGTTTACTGCGCCCAGACCTGGTCTCCTGGAATGCCTTCGCCAGTGCTTGCGAGAAGCAGAGCGTTTGGCGTTCGGTGCCTGGGATGTGCTGTGTGTGGGGTTTGTTTGGTTTTGAGGGTACCCTGTTTGTGTTGGTTTTACAGCGACACCAAAAGGAAAGCCACAAGTTGGAGGATCCTGCTATTTTGAGAAATACCGATGTGGCAAGAATCTGGACGAATGGTATGACTCTCCATCGCAAGACTGGTTGTGGCTTCAGTTCGCCGATTGTTCTAGGGGTTGATTCCAACCATTCTTTTCAGACATCGTTGTTTTCAAAAACCGATCGCCATTTCTTCTCTTTTTGTTTTAAGGTGGTTTTCTAGAAAGATTCGGATCACTGGATTCAGAATGGACATGGAAGCTACCCCTAGAATAATCTTAGATACCCTCCTATCCACTTAACATGGAACTTACCAGAGGGTCCATTTTGAAGGAACATGACTTTGAAGCTACCCCCAGAAAGGTTTGCACAGCTTCGTGTTGCATCCAGTGCAAAGCGCTGGGCACTCTCTTTCCAAACGCCAACATGACGTGTTCGTGCAGTCTCGGCTACACTCAAAACAAAACCTTTGGTGCATTTTGCCAAGAAAACAAAACAGGGCTCCGGAAAAATATATATAGAATTTGTGCCACCATTTGAAACATGTGGCTTTTTCAACACCAACATAAAGGTTGAAACCACCATTTACAAGTTGCAATGTTCAGGTGTATAATGTAAGGATCCCTGCAAAACCTTTGCTGCATTTTGCCAAGGAATGTTAGGACTGAAAAGTTGTTTGCCAACTAGTGGGTTTTCTGAATTAAATCACCAAAAGTTATTCACTTTTAGCAGGGGATCAGAAAGCAACCGAGAAACTGGATGTGTTTGGTTTTGTGGAAGGATGAGCACCAACAGCACAACTGAGGGTAGACAACAAACAGCAAAGAGACCTCAAGAAAACAAGAAAAGAGGTTTTGGCAACTCCATAATACTCTCCTTTGAGGTTGTGCCGGTTTCTGTGTTTTCTCCAGGTGTTCCTGGAGTGTTTGTGTTGTGTGTTGGCATTACCCCTCCAACAAGCCAATCAAAGCAACTTTGTTTTGGTTGTTAGGAGGGATACTGCCAGACGAACAATAAAATGGGAGAACAACACAAAACAAACTGCCTCGAGAGATAGAGCGAGAAAATACTCGGCTTTTGGCGACCCCACAACTTCTCCTCCGATTGTGTGTGTTTTGAGTTCCGGTGGTGTCGTGAAGTGCATTGCCAAACCAGAAGGATTCACGTATGTGTGTTTTCGTGTTGAGCAATTGTTGGCAAACCCAATCAACACAAACACAAGGTATGCTCATAAGGCTCAAGCGCGCAACACAGTCCTGTGTGTGTGTTAGCTTCAAACAAGCAACGCCATGAACCACACACAGTGTTTGTTTCAGCTTTCTTGGATTTGCTGGTACATTTGGATGGCCGAATCCTGGCCACCCATCAACATTGACTTAATGCAAGTGCAAACATGCTAAGAGGCAAAACACCATTGACCAAACGCGGTTGTTTAATACTTCTATGGGGTAAGATTTTGAGAAAAGGGTAAATGAGCTGGGTACAAGGATCGGAAGGGCGCCAAGGTCCACAAAACAGAGGACGGGAAGATTCTGGACGAGGTGAAAAAAACGGCGGAGAGGAAGATAATGTTAAAGCGAGTTTCGGAGTGGCAACGCACCAAAGCTTCGGAAAAGGCTTGGAATCCATGGTTCCCACATTCATGTATACGTGTTTCCTGAAATAGGTGGTTGATTTCCGTTTAGTCGTCCTCCCCACAAATCTAGGGCTACCTTCCCCATTCTTTCCAGGAAACCATCAAAAACCCAGGGGAAACCGCGATCGGTTGTTGAAAAGAACGATGGTTGAAAGATTGGACAAGGAATCAACCCCTGGCACAAAGAGTCGGATCCCCGGATCCGCAGGTGCTGGGGGTCTTTCAGCAGCTCAGCCTCCAGCGACTGGCTCCGGACGAGCGCACCTTCGCCGCGGCGTTTTTCTCCAGCACTTGGCCCCGCGCTCTGCGCCTGGCGCGGCAGATGGCCGCTGCAAGCCTCCAGCTGGCCACTCGGTGGGTAGGGGGGGAGGTCTAGGTGGGGTGGGGGGGGTGGGGGGGTTGGGTGGGGTGGGGGTTGGGTGGGAGGACTTTGTTTTGGTGGGTTTGTTTTTGTGGAGGGGGGGACCCAACGGAAGGGCAGAGTGCGCTTTGCTTTTGTGGGCGGGTGCAGTGTTGCTTTCTTTCTTTGGCCATTTTGCAGTGTTATGTTTCTTTGTGTTGGGCATAGTCTTATACTCTGGTGAGCTATATGATGGGCACATTCTTTATTGGTATCGAGTCTGTCTCCTGCCGGAATTCATTCGTCCAGCGTGTTCGAATCCCGGAGCTTCCGGTAGCCAAACTTCATCATTCTAGGGGTTGATTCCTTTTCCATTCTTTTCAACCATCGTTCTTTTCAAACACCGATCGCGGTTTCCCCCTGGGTTTTTGATGGTTTCCTGAAAAGATTCGGATCCCTGGAAAGCCCCTCGTAGTGAAAGATTTCTTTTTGAGGTCGCCAATTTTCTCACAGGTGGCAAAACGACACCCCTGAGTCGAAGGTAGCCCTAGAGCTATTGACCCGTCACCGACATCTTTTGTCAACAGTTTTTTCCGTTGCGCACCGGCACGGCGCTGAAGATCAGCCATGTTTGTCATGAAGACATGGCGGTTCTATGACATGAAGATCATTTGACGACGCGGCGGGTTTTGGGTTGTTCATTGCGTTTGTTATTTTGTCGTTTTTTTGTGCAGGAGTCTGTGCTGTCCGCCGCTGCGGCTACGTGATATTGCTCGGACTGATGTGTGTGTGTGTGTGTGTCTCGTGTGTTTGTGTCTGTTGCTGTTGCTACTTGTCAAGCTTGTGCCTGGTAGATTTGGACACACCTTTTTGCCGCATTTGCGCTTCAAGTCGTGCCATCGGGCAAGGGTTCGGACACCCAGGATGTGATCATGCACCAGACCCTGCTGGAGTCTTCCCTCTGTGTCCGTCAGCCTCCGAAGGACCGGCAGGAAGCCTTTGGCTCCCTTCCACTTTGTCAGGTCATCCAGTCCAGTTAAGTTTGGATTCACATGCAGCAAGAGGATGATTATATGGCTTTGTAAGATCACCACTTCACAGGGCTTGATTTCTACAGAGGGTGTTGGGGATTCGATATGTTAGGTATCCTTCAGTTGTCACAGGTCATGTTACGCCTTTGTTCGCCGCCTTGTCCAGGACACCTTCCAACAGCTGTCAGAGCTTGGTGTCTCACTGCTGCGAGGCATAAAACACGTGCGCGCTGGATGTGCGTGGCCCATGTCAGCATGCAGTATGCCGTTTTGGCATTCTGGCAATGCCTCAAACTCTAGATTCGATTAGAGCCTACGAGCCTTCACCAGCGAGCGGCCATGTTTCTTATATTTGAGAAAGCGTCAGTTTGACAAAAAACATGGCTCGGGTTGATATGGGCTGTGTTCCTGTTGGTTTCCTTTATCCGAAGGCACACACCCAGCTGGCCGATCATGTATGTGTGTTCCTTGTTGCATTCAGGATAAACTGCTTGCTGGTTCTCCAAGATACATCATAATTTACCAAGTAAACGGAGCAGCATGATTTGCTGGTGATTTGGCTGTAGCGGGATGTTTGGCTGCATGCTTCGATGAACATGGATGACCGCAGTATTTTCTGGATATCTTTGGAGTCGTTTGCTCATTGTCAGCCTGGCCGGTTTTCATCACAGCCTGATTTGTTGGTTAGTTAGTTTGGTTGATTTGGTCGAGTTGATTGTTTCTCTTGGTTGGTGCAGGGTGTGGACCAATCTTTGAAGACGCAGAGATGCGGACTGCAATTTGAGTCAGAGCAGCATGCATGCTATCACATGAACGGGTTCTACAAAGGTTACTCTGGGAAGGTTCTACAAGATGTTGCGGCCAAGCTATTCCGGAGTTCCCATGATTTTCAGGTGTGTTTCATAGCCGGTTTGAAGCGGCGGTTTCCCTTCTTTTCGCTTCCTGGGTGCTAAGCAGGCCAGAATGTTCAACTTTCCCAGGCGGGTATTTGATTGATCAGTGTTTCCATTCCTCAGTAGAAAACCAGCAAACAACGCAACACCAAAACGCGCAAACAGAAACACCAAAAGCAAGCAAAGCAGCAAAACGCCCAAACCCACCAAAGAACAACAAGCAAACAAAAACGCGGTTCTGTACCAGCACCCTCCAAGCCCGATCCATATGTACGTGAAGTGCCCTGTGACCCAATTTGAGGTACCAATTGACAACCCTTCTTTTTTTTCCTCTTTGCTGATTTCTCTTCTTTGTGGGGGGGGGGTCCTTCTGTTTGCTCTTTTTTGTTTATTGATTATTATTATTTTTGTGAGGGGGTGCATTTTCATTTTTTTGTGGGGGGGATCCCCCTATGATGTTTTGCCAAAACCGCCCAAAGCCAAGAACCAACAACGAGCAGTTCTCTCCAGAAGCCGCCTTCGGTTCAGGTCCCAGAGCTGGGACGGGTGGCGCTGGGCGCCGCCCTCAGCGGCAGCCTGGGGCGCCACAAGATCTACGCCAAGGCGACGACCATTTTTTCTCGGAGGGTGGAGGTGTGAAAACCTAGGTCCCCCATTAGTGCCCTTTCTCACCCTATTCTGGGGGAGGGTTTCCCTACTAAAGTAGACTACAGAAAAAAAGTATCTTTATTCTAAGCTCTCTACTGGAGGACCTAGAAAACATGCTGTGCCAGGGCCCCCATTTTTGTAGTCTTCTTTTTGGTTTCAATCTCAACAATTCGCAAAAAAAAGGGGGGACCAACGCAAAACAAATAGGAAACCATGCCCGAACAGATTAACTAGGATATGGATCACTGGATTTAGTCCATGTTTTGACTTAGCTGGGTTCCATTTTGGGTTCCTGTTTTTGACCCACAGCCAAATGTTGGTTTTCCTCTTGGTTTCCCTTGAAAACTTCACTAAAGGGAAGGGTACCAACACTAAAGACATAGGGACTATGGTCAATATGTGTGGGGCCGTACTTAAAGGGGCAATGTACTTCGCAAGGGGTTAGTAAGCTTGGTTGTTCTCACTTACCATGGCTATAAGGCTCCTAAGTGGGTTACAACCAGAATTACTAACCACTTACTAACAGAGGTTCATTTTGCTTGGATGTTAGGACTTTAACTTTTTGCCAACTAGTGGGTTTTCCATTAAACCACTAAAAGTTAAGCTGTTAGCCGGGGAGCAGAAAGCAACCAAGCTAAGTACCCTGCCCCTTTAAGCACCCCAGGAGTGTCCTTGGGGGTAGGGGAAATATGTGGAACTCTGCTAGAAAAAGGGCATGGCTGGTCTCAAGGGTTTGACCGAATCGCTCCAAAAGGGCCTCTTAGAAACTTGGTGGCTGCCAGTCATCCCCTTAGCCTTTTAGCTTTTTAGTGTTTAATGGGGATGTCCATTTAACCCACTAAAAGTTGAACTTTAAGCGGGGGATCTGAGGACAGCCCAGGAAGCAAGCCGCTTTTGCGTCACGCCTGCAAAAGGATAGACCTAGAATTGGGATGCTCTGGATCTTGAAAAATATGTCTTGGGCATGGCTGGACGGTTGGAGATGCCAAATCAGCATACGACCTGAAGATGGTTTACGCCTCGCAACCCTTTGGAGTTTACGTCAGCGGATTGGTTGCTGCTCCGCGCGTAAGACCTGTTTGCGAAGAGCATTGCAAGCGCAATGCATACCAGGAAGTTGCCTAGTACTTGAGATTTAGAAGGTTTCTGGCTCCTGGGTTAGGTGAACCCTTTATGTAGTTGTTTGCTGTATCGCTTGCTGCTTGCCAGCCGACATTCGGTATCCATGCTTGACTGAGAGCTCGGAAGAAGCGCGTCATTTATTACCCACATGTTGTTACCAAACAACCAATGTAATTTGTTTAGTGGACTTTGCCCGCTGCTTTTGCTTCGGGGTGGCCTGCGTTCGATGTTGGTCCTCACTTCTCTAGCCAACCCGGTTGGTTTCAATGGCTCGGCATTCGGATACCAGTCAATGTTTGTAGGTATTCGGTACTGTGTCTGCTCTATGTTTGCCCTATCGTCGGTATGTTTGTTGCTAGCACACTCTTTAGCCGAACCTGAGCCCTGTTTTTTTTGTCCGAAGACATCCCAAGTGCAGTTTCACCAACAACGCACATGTCCCGCAATCGCAAGACCACGAACCCGCTTGCCCGTATTGCTATCTCTTCAGCAAGAAAGCGGCTAGCGTTGCATGGATCAGGGAAATTGTACCTTGATCCAAGCGACTTGTAAGTTCACATGAACCTTCAGTTATATTCGATCACACCTTATTGTTCGATGCTATACGATGCTTCTACCATGACATCGAACAATCAAAGTTTCGTCCGCGCAAACACAACTTTTGACGATTGTAAACATGAGCCCTTGACACTGACATGGCATCTACGACAAGTTGCTGGCATTTGTCTCTATGCTATTGGGTTGGATCCTTAGACTTTAACTTTTTTGATTCTACTCATATTTCCTTTAAACCAGCAAAAGGTGTAACTTTTTGCTGGGGGATCTACAGCACCCCAGCTGTAAAAAAATCAGCAGGCAAGGGACGTCAGCCTGGCCAGGTTGCAGCAGAAGCCACAGCACTTCTGAGTTCGGAGGCGTGATCAGTTCGGGGTCTGGGGGAGCGGCAGGCGTGTGCGCGGGTACGTGGCGAGTATATCTAGGTCCCCCAGTAGTGCCCAATGATACCCTCTTTTGGGTCAAATTGACTACATAGAAAAGGGCACCCTTATTCTAAGCTCTCTACTGGAGGACCTAGATATACATGTGAATGATTGCGAACGCCAAGATGGGAGTTGATCGAAAGAAAGGTTTACACGGGCTTTTGCTGTCGGGGACCACAGCACTGCGAGCGTTTGAGCCGCGAAAGATCCGAAAAGGAGTCGCGAAAGTGATGCTTTTGCTCAGGACAGATTTAGCTAAATCTTTGAAGCTTCTGGGAGGCATGCTGGCACGCTGACATATTTGCAGACGCTCCCTTGTACACAGGCCGACGCGCGCCAGTACTTGCAGTCGTGATTCCCTGCCTATGGGAATGGTGCAAGCCAAAGCGTTGGCTGGGAAGTATTGGAGCAAGTTGCGCAACACTCCCGCGATTGCCAGGTTCTCCGCGTTGGGTTGGGACCAGGACGGAGCAGTCCCGGCAAGCGCAAGAGCAGTCCCCGCAAGAGCAAGTACTTAAAGTGGCAATGTACTTAGCAAGGGGCTAGGCAGCCTGGTTTATCCCCACTTGCCATGGCTATAACTCTCCTAAGTGGGTTATAACCAGGTTCACCAACCACTTACCAAGTACTCTGCCCCTTTAAGTAGAAAGGGTGAATGTCAGTTACTGTTTGCACGTAACGCTGCTTGCAATCCTGCCAATGCAAGTGAATGCTGTGAATGCTGTGTTTGCAAGCGCAACTGCGAGAGCGCGCCCTGGCGACAAAAGGGCGTGGCGAAGGAGTCGCGCAAAATGCGCGAAAGATTGCGACAGAGATGTTTTCTCGCGAAGATATCGTTTTTCTGGAAGCCGGAATATTGGTCAACTGCCCTAGTATATATTTAGACACCTGTGAATGTGTATTTTGATACGAGCGTGTGAGTGTGTATCTTTATGCATGTATGATTTGATTCACGCATTCATATAGTCGCTTTCGAGATGCATTTTTTTGCATTTTGTACGATTGACAGCTTCTTTGAGGTTGGTCTGAATGAGAAGTATGCCCAACGAATATCCCCAACAGCAACGGCCAAAGCCTATTGTTTGGAGCTTTGCCGGAACCGTGCCAGATATATAGTTGTGACACCCAGGGCAATCATTGTTAAGGGTAGGTTGGAGTCACCCTAGTTCTGTTTGAAACCTGTAGTATTGCACGCGAGCCAGGTCTGACAGACAGCCTTGACCCACTCTCCCAGCCGTCAGTATCTCAAAAACGCTACGCTCGGCTCCACGGCCCTGCGTGTTGGAGCAGACATGGGACTTCCGAATCAATGAGACCAAAGACGCAGCGTGTCTTTTTCGCATTTTTGATTTGTGTTTCTTCCAGGATTCCAAGGATCAGGTTTAGATGTCCAGCATCGAAATTCGAAGGTTTGACTCAGCCTTCTTGGCTCAGGAGTTCCAAGCGCCGGAGTTAAATGCTTTGGCTGGAAGTAGTGGTTTCTAAGGTTTTTCAGGTTTCGTGTTGCGTGTAGGGTATGATTTACTTTGGGCTTTTTCCGGACGCCGTGAGTTTGGTAGGGCTGGGTTTTGGGCTACGCA